CAGCCAGGGTTAAACCACCCCCTACACCGCCAGGATGCTGCTGCTTTGCCCCACGAGCTCCTGTCGCTGCCCAGCGTGGTCCGTGCTGCCCCCGCAGCGCCGCTTGGGAAGGGGAGCGGTGAGCTAGGGGAGGGGGAGAAGTTGTTAACCTGCTCTGTGAAACCGGGTTGGAGTCCTGTCCGTGCCACGTATTGCCTTAGGTGACAAGCGAGTGGCTTTGCTTAGTGCCAGCACCTTGGCCAGCCCTTCCCCAAGCTCTGGGTGCAAAGGTACCTTTTGGCTCGCTGTCCTGAAATCCTCCCCGGGCTGGGATTGCCGTTGGTCTGGAAGGAGATGCATCCTTTGGAGGGAGATGCACTCTTAGGTCACCGGCACAGACAGCACTGAGCACGTTTTGCAGAAGCTTCTGCCAAGGAAGACATGCAACACAGCCTTTGTCTAAATCCACTGTGCATGAAGTTTTGTGCTTTGAATATTCTACTTCATCTGGTAGAATAAATAGCAACTGTTAAACTTCTCAGACACCCTTCCTGACATCAAAGCACTGTCCCGCTGTGATCAGGCAGCAGGGAAGTATAGACTAGTTTCAGTTCCTGTACCTAAACGAATCAAGCCCCCTCAGTCCACTCAACCGTGCCACCTACAGCACAGCCTGCTCCTCCATGTGCACAGATAACCTCAAACCCAAACCTGCAGCTGCTGCTGGTGAATAGTCATTCTGTGTCAAACCCTGCCCTGGGATGACTCTGGAGGTACAGACCAGACCCTTCCTGCAGGGATTACTCACAGCAGCAGGTCAAACATGAGGCCTGGCAGCAGGACTGCATCTGCAGGCAGTGGTGGGAGGTCTGCAGAGGGGAAGGGGTTGTTCTGCTCTTCCTCTGACCCTGCAGAGTTGTTTCTTTAGCAGTTCTGGGCTCTTGGTGTGCCAGCTGCTGGGTGGGAAGGAGCACAAGCAGATCTTGGGCATGGTTCCCAGCTGTGCCCACCCTTCAGTGGGTATAAACCTCTCTAACTTCTACCATCTGTTTGAGCTGTGCCACGACTCTGTGCCCTGGATGCCTGTAGAGGGGATGTCCTCTTGCCAAGGGAAAATGAGGTCTGGAGTGCAATCTCTGCTGCAACATCGTTACACATTGCTGTAGGCCCTGGCAAGGAATACACAGACTGGACTTGGTGTTACTCCAGGAGGAGAGGATGTTGTGGTTTGGGAGGAGAGTTTTCCACAGATGCACGCAAGTGTGGAAAGGCATTGGGGATGTTTTATTTTTCTTCTCTATGCATTCTTCATCCTGGGAAAGAGGATTTCTAGTGAAGCTGTTAAGCCTCACGAAAATGAGGTCATCTGGCAGATCAGCTGTGTAACACCAAAATACCACAGGGCAGGTAGAGGTTTGCTTTGAAAGACAAAGCCACTGAGAGCCTGTGTGAGTTCTGGAGCTGCCTCCTCTGCCCCAGCAGTGTTGGCAAGCAGGGACAGGTTCCCAGGACAGCAAAGCCCTGGCCTTGAGGCCTAGACAGAAACACCAGGAAACCTAACTATTTATAGTCCAACTCCTGTGGGAGGGGTGGTGTTCCTCAAGCCCTAACAGGTCCTCATCTTACCATCTCCTCCTTCTCTTATCCTAGTTCGTTGCCCAGCTGCTGGGATTCCTGATCAGTGTGGTCAGCTCCATCTTCTGTGGCCACCTGGGGAAAGCTGAGCTGGATGCTGTGACACTGGCTGTGTCCGTATGTATCACTCCCAATCCCCTTGGATTGAAGACACACAAATTATGTATTACCAAAAAAAAGAAGAAAAAACCCCCCAAAGCTGTAGAAACGTACATGTGAGGGCCCTGTGTGTCAGCACAGCCTGATGCAATGCAGACATCACCAAACAGTTCTTTTGCCCTGGGCACAGGCAGGGCAGGGCAGCTGAGCAGGCAGTGCCTGTGCCAGTGCAAGGCCAGTACCTGGAGCCTCTGACCATCTCTCTGAACCTGGGCACATGGCCAGGAGCAGCACTGTTTGTGGTCCTTGAGGTGCTTATCCCTTGCTAGAGGGTCTTTTTCTCCACCAGAGGGAAGAAGAGGCTATTTAGCTAACAAGATTGTGTTATTCTGAGAAATAGAAAAGGGCTGGAAACTTCCCAAAAACTTGTAGCAGAACTGTCTCCCCACCCAGCTGGGTGGAACACAGTGCTCTGGGCCAGGTTCCCTGTCTCTCCTCCAGGTGATCAACGTGACAGGCATCTCCATCGGTTCTGGTTTAGCCTCAGCATGTGACACGTTGATGACCCAGGTCAGTAGCAGCTCCCCCTTTCCTGTCTGACAGGGTTTGCCTGTTGCTGTCTCACCTCCTGTGCAGTGTGATGTGGGCACAAAGGGCAGGAGGATGGCACTTTCTAGGCAGCATGAGGCTACAGGTGCCCTGGCTGAAGTCTGCTCACTCTGTACAGCTCCCTCCGAGGAGTCCTGAGTCATGCCCAGATCCCAAAGGGATGTGCAATCTGCCTGAGAGCAAGTTATACCCAACCAGCCTGGCATTAACTGCTGCAGGGCATGGGAAATTTAATCAGCCTCTTGTTGCCCTGAGCGTTTTCCCAGATCCTTTGGCTCCCTGTATCACTCACCTCTGTCCTCTCTCCTGACTCAGACGTATGGCAGCAAGAATGTGAAGCAGGTGGGCACCATCCTGCAGAGAGGCATCCTCATCCTGCTGCTGTGCTGCTTCCCTTGCTGGGCACTCTTCGTCAACACTGAGCAGATCCTCCTGCTCATCCGACAGGACCCCGAGGTCTCCAGGTCAGGGATGAGATCCAGCCCTTCTGGATCAGTCTTCTGCCTGTGGGTGGGTTGCCATGTAGTGTTGAAATCAAGGCTCTCTGGAGCTTGAGTGCAACACTGTTTGGCTTGGCTCTTGCTTTGCTGTATCATTAACTGGGGAAACAACTCTCTTTCCAGGTTAACTCAGGTCTACGTGATGATCTTTATTCCAGCACTTCCTGTAAGTGACTGCTAAAGCTGTTTGAGGCTCTGTATCCCTTAGTAACATCAGGGAAAGGAGGGAGGGCCTTTGCTGTGTGGCTCAGAGGGCAGGTTTAGGGTTTTACAATGTGCTCCTTGATCTTGTGCCTTACCAGATGTGCATTGGCCAGCAGCTGCTGGACCAGCACACATGGGGTCTCTCATCTTCCTGCTACAGCCATATCTTTGCCTGGCATGTAACTGGCAATGGACTCCAGGCTCACTCGTAGCTCCAAGATAAGCTTGCTGTTCACACACACAGAGCTGCTGGGCTCTGGCTAGTTACTCTGACTCCTCTAAGGCAGAGAGCAGTACCACTGCAGAATAAGGGTCTGGTAGGTTTATGCTTTCTTCTCAGCTTTACAAGCTTTCCAGGCTGATGAGGAAGCATAGGAGATTTCTCATTTGAGGACTGATCTCTTGCCAGTGGGAATGGGAGGGGAGGTGCCTTGTATTACCCTTGGCCTTGGGTGCAGGCAGTGCTGGCAGGTGCCATGCTTCAGCTGGAGTGGGGCACCCCAAAAGGGCAGTGTGGGGACTGAATGCTGAACTGTGGTGCTGATGAACTGAATCCTGACTTTTGCAGGCTGCATTTCTGTACCAGCTGCTGACAAGATATTTACTAAGTCAGGTATTGTATTACTAGCCACTTCTGGTCTGTGCATTAAACCCAGCCTTACCAGGAACAGGAGCTCCCTTCTTGGCTTCCTCCTTGAGCATGGATGAGAGTTTCCCTTGTGTTCCTTGTGATGGGGCTTGGGCAGCACTGGGAAAGCAAAGTCCCAAGTTCCTCCTTGGCTTCCAGGCGATCATTATGCCTCAAGTGTTGACTGGGATTGCAGCCAACATCCTCAACGTGGCCATGAACGCCTTCTTCCTTTATGCACTGAAGCTGGGCATGGTGTAAGTGTGAGCAGAGGTGGTGACAGCCTCTCCCTGGGTTTGCTCAGGGCTGGGGGTGGTGTCCTGGGTGCCCAGTTCTACCACCTCCTGCCCCAGACAACCAGCCTGCAAAGGTGAGGCCGGAGGGATCTGCCCCAAGGCTTATTTGGGTGCTCTCCTGCTGTAGCTGATGAGGTTGAGGAGGATGTCACTCGTAACCTGCCTGTCTCTCTCCCCAGGGGCTCTGCCTGGGCTAACACTGTTTCTCAGTACACTGAGACCATTCTCCTCATCCTTTATGTGTGGTGGAAGAAGATCCATGTGAAGACCTGGGGAGGTACTGTTATAGAATAATCTTTCAGAATACCAGTGTCTTTCCCTGGGAATTTGCCACTGTCACCAGCACCTGACAAAGAGATTGCCATCCCTTCATGGTGGGAAGATGCTGTAGCCATGTCCTCAAGGCCTCTACTGTAGCTCTAAAGGCATTCTTGTTGAATATCCTGTCTCAGGAACACAGCATGGCACAGCAGCAATCCCAGATGTATGTCCTCTGAGCTGTGGTGGTGGTTGTCCTCAGAGAGTGACCAGAGGGCCATATGGTTCCCCTTTGGGGGTGGAGAGGGAGAACACATGTTAATTTTGCTTCACCTTGTTGCAGGTTGGAGCAGGGACTGTCTCCTGGACTGGGGCTCTTTCACCTGGCTGGCAGTGCCTAGCATGGTCATGATGTGTATTGAGTGGTGGACCTTTGAGATTGGGAGCTTCTTGGCTGGTGAGTCCAAATCCTCTTTTTCCTCTAGTTCAACAGATCACCTTCCATCAGTGCCTGCTCTGGTGGCTTGAGCATGTCCTGCCAGCAGTCTCCTTCCCAACAGAGTTGGGTCTGCAGGACACTGCAGATGTTCCCATCTATTCCATGGGAACCCTGTAGTTGCTGCCTCCTTGTCAGCAAATGAAGGGGGTGATGAATCTTTTCCAGGGCTGCTCAGTGTGGTGGAGCTTGGTGCACAATCTGTCATCTATGAGCTCGCTTGTGCTGCATACATGGTAAGGGTTGGGTGTATGAAACCCCAAACTGCCTGGGAGAAGCCTGTGGATCAGCGCTGGGGTGGGAAGCAGGGGTTGGTACCAGGCAGGTGATGCCTCTCAGCCCTGCTGTGCAGCTGCACATCCAGGTTGTGCTGCAGATGGAAAATGCCTTTACTGCAGCAATGCCAGTTTACCCCAAATTCACCACTGGGGAAGAAGCAAATTGCTGCAGGCTCTGTTGTCACTGCACCACTCACCTCTTCTTGTCTCCTGCTACTCAGGTGCCTCTGGGCATCAGCGTGGCTGCGAGTGTCAGAGTGGGGAATGCCTTGGGATCGGGGGATGTGGTGCAAGCCAAGACCTCCTGCATCACTGCACTGCTGTGCACAGGTCAGCCCAGGTCCTGCAGGGCAAAATAATAAGCACTTATCAGCAAATGGCTCAGTTCCCCTCTCAGAGGGTTGGGGACCCCTCCTGGCCACCCAAACCCACCTGTTTGGGCCCTTTCTTTGGGCAAGGTGAGGCTCTGGCTGCTCTTTTCTGTTATGAGCCTGGTGCAAAGGCTTTGATAGTTATAAATGCAATTTAGCATTCTGTCCTCCCACTCCAGAAGATAGAGGGAGTATTTGGGGAGAGAGTAAGGAAAACAGACTTGTTCTCTGCTGCAGTATCACTTGGAGGTCAGCCAAGTCCAGTCCCCAAGGTCTGGGCCTGGGTCAGGAGCAGAACATGCTGCCCTTGAATCAGTTTGACTCTTTCTTTTTCTTTCAGGAGTTTTTGCTGTGGTGGTTGCAACGTTACTGGCAAGCCTAAAGGATGTGGTGGGATACATCTTCACCAATGACAAGTGGGTCAACAGCTTTCTCTTGAGTATTATTACCTTCTTGGAGGGTACAATTTATATCCCAGGAACTGCTGAGAGATAAGAGTTCATAAACCTCCATCTGGAAAACATGTTCCCCAAAGGTTCCTCCCCGTTGCCTAGTGTTACTGGGCAGCACAGATGCTGGTGACACTGGGACACTACCATGGTAGCAGGCTGGGATCAGGGAACTGGAATCAGCTTTTGCAGCTGACTGAGGGTGATATGTGAGAACCAAAGTCCCTTGGGACCAGGTGGTGCTGCTTCCCCTGATCCGACCATGCATCTTCCCAACAGGGAGATCGTTCACTTGGTGTCCAAAGTGATGCTCATCTTTGGTCCGTTCCACTTGCTTGATGCAACAGCAGTGAGTATTGCAGCACGTGAAGTGATTCCTCTCTGCACTTTGGGGTGCCATGGAGGGTGCAAAGCTGCCTATAAAACTGATACAGAGAAGCAAACTGACAAACTGTCAAAGCAGCAGCTTGTGCTACCTGTAGCACCTCAGTGTCCCCTGTGCTTGCAGTTGCCCCTTGGCATTGCTGCAAACAACCTCCTCTTTTCCCCTGGCAAGGCTGCAGATTTTTGAACAGCTGGGTCTTGACAGATAGCAGGTGCTCCCAGCATACTCATTAAATAGTCATTTTGGCCTGTTTGCTCCTGTCACATCCTGGGGAGAGGGACCCAGGCAGTCTGGGTGGGCAGCTGGAGCCCCACACCATGTGCTCCAAGACGTGGCTTTGGTCCCTCTTGGCTTCATGGGACAGTGCGATGGATTCCCCTGTTCCCAGGGCTGTGCCGTGCCCCAGAGCTCCTGTGGTGGTACCTGGCAGTGATCCCTGTGCCCTCCCTCCTTAGGCCACCTGTGGGGGTGTGCTGCGGGGCACGGGGAAGCAGAAGTTGGGTGCCATCGCCAACGCCATCGGATACTACACCATCGGCCTGCCCATTGGCATCTCCCTGATGTTTGCAGCCAAGATGGGGGTCTTAGGTATGTGTGTCCTCCACCTGGCACTGTATGAGCTGCCAAACCCTGTGCCTTGAGCAGAGGCTCAGCCCTGGAACTCATGCTTGGATCTTCCTTTGAATCAGTGGGGATGAATTGCACACTGATGTGTTTGGGGCAGGCGCTGAGTAGACTCATCAATGGGGGCTGAGATGTCCTAGTAAATCCAGACTTACTCTCCTCTCCCATCAAGACTGGATTGGACATGGGGCAATGCTCTGACCCACTGAAGTTCCTGGGCACTTTGGCAGTGACTGGCAAAGGCAGGTTTTCCTTAAGACCTCCCTGAAGTAACTTCCCATCGCTGCAGGTCTGTGGGTTGGGATGATCATTTGCATCTCTGTGCAAGCTCTTTCCTTCTTGGCTTTTGTCATCCGCATGGATTGGAAGAAAGCTGCAGAAGAGGTGAGACTTGTGTTTCTTTCTGGTAAATCTTGAAAGGTGCTGGGTGAGTTCCTGTCCCAGTACAATGCCACAGCCTTCTGGGAAGAGGCAGAAGTGAACTGGGATCTGTCCTCCTGTAGTGGAGGAGCAATTTGGTGCAGAGCGTGCTTGTCTTGGGAGAGTGGAGGGTTTTCTGGGCTGGGCAGGACACTCTTGCCCTGAGAAGAGCAACTTTTCCCTGTGTTTTTAGGCTCAAGTCCGAGCTGGAATGAAAGAACAACCAGAAGACATGAACTCCAGTGGCACAGCTGATAACAAAACATCTGCTGTAGGTATGTAACTGGGCCCAAATTCTCCACCCAACCCTTCCTTACATTCCCAGTCATGGCAGCTATGTCTGTCCTGCAAGCTTCTGGAAAAAGAGCACAGTGCTGGTCTCAGGGCTGTGGCATTTCTCCTGCACGTAGTAACAGGGTACAAGATACCTGGGCTGCCAGCCCATGTCTGCCTCACTTGGGAACAGCTGCCACTTTGCTGTGGCATGTCCCAGTGTCCCCAGCTCATGGGAAAGGACCCTCAGGACTGGCACTAGTGCAGCTCAAAGCTTCTGATTTTGGCAGATGAGCTTCCCTGCAGCACTCACCTCTCTGCCACACAGATTACACCTCCGTCGACACAGACACCGTGGACACTGTAGCCCTGCCTGAAAATATCGTGGTGGGTGAGAGGCAACCAGACCACCAGCTCATCACAGAAGAAGAGTGTCCTGTTGTCCCTTCTCCCACTGTGGCGTGGAGGGCACTGATCATGATTTTGGCAGATGAGCTTCCCTGCAGCACTCACCTCTCTGCCACACAGATTACACCTCCGTCGACACAGACACCGTGGACACTGTAGCCCTGCCTGAAAATATCGTGGTGGGTGAGAGGCAACCAGACCACCAGCTCATCACAGAAGAAGAGTGTCCTGTTGTCCCTTCTCCCACTGTGGCGTGGAGGGCACTGATCACGTGTGCTGTGCTGGGCTGCCGCCGCTGCCGTCGCTGTCCTGCTGGTGGGCATCCTGGTCAGGCTCCTGACTGGCAATGGCTAGAGCCAGTGACACTGGGCAACTGTGCACAGAGCAGGAGGGCACGTGGCAATGTCCCAGGAGGACTGTGGGGGAAGGAATTCCCCCTCACTTCGTTACAAAAAGTCCCTTTGCTCAGTTTCTGGTCGACTCACAATGTTTTATCCCACACACAGAGTTCTTAAAGGGGGTGAGGATGTGGCATCTGGGAAAAAAAGTGGTGCTTGAGAGCTGGTTCCTCTCCTGCACTGCACCAGGGTGTCACTCATGATAGGTGGGACTGTATCCTGGGGCTGACCCAGGAAGGACACAGGGTCCTTGTGCTGCTGTTCTGCTCCCTGGGGGACATTTGTTCATGTTATTTGCTAATGGCCAAGGCTCCTGATGTCCACAGCACATTTCCTCATGCACCAGCCTGTGCCAGCATCTTGGCATGGCAGAGCCCACTCACAGCTGCTGCAGCAGCACAGGTTAAGGTGGATTTTGCTGGAAAGTGTCTGACTCTGCTGCTGGGGCGTTGGGTGCTGGGCCCTGGCCCTGCTCTCCCCATGACGTGGCAGGCACAGCGCCTAAAGCAACTCTTCTTTGCACTTTTGTAAGGTGGGATTTTGATACAATAAAGTTTTCTGAGTAAACCTTAGGCTGTTTAATGTGGTGTGAGCATGACCCTGGTCATTGGCATGGCTGTGCTGTTAGAGGAGAGATGTGGGGCTGGTTTGTGCAGCCTGATCGACACACACAGAGCAGAACCTCAGGCTCCTGGCCCTGTGGTTTGGACCAGCTCTGTGTCCAGGGTTATCACAATGCTCTCAGGTACAAAAGCAGGGTTTGTGCTCCTCAGCTGCTTTCTGCACTGCTGTTGAGCACTGTGGAAGAGGGTGGTTGTGTTGCCATTAGAGAACTGCCATAGTCATAAGCCAAACCCCCCATCACTGCCTGTCCCCTGCACTGAGTCCCTCCAGACCTGTCCCAGGCTCTTACCTACAGCTGAGAGACTGATGTGGCTCATGCTCAAACACTGGACAGGGCAACATAAAGCATATACATGGCACCTCCAAAACTCTCCTGCCTCAGGGTGCTGTGAACAATAAGATGTGACATAAACAAGCTTGAAAGTGCCCCAACACCAACAGCCTCTGCCCAGATGTGTGAGGATGTGGCAGAGCTCAGATTCCTGGTAGGTTTAGGATGGGACCCTGGGGAGAGGAGGAAGCTGTGTCACTGCTCCCTGAGCTACCCCAGCCCAGCTCCCACTGTGCAGGAGAGGGTCTGCTCTGCAGTGGCAGCTCCTCTTCACCTGGCTCCCCACTGGTGGGCCAAGGACACGATATTTGGCCTGAGGGATGGATGCCAGTGAAAGCCAACACAGCTGGAGCCAACAGGGCTGGCTTGTCTTGGCCACCACCACACTGTGATGAGAGGGGCTGAGACAGGCAGTGGCCCCACCACTGCTGGCAGCAGCTCACTGGAGTCTGCACAGATCCAAGAATCCTCCATCGCCTCTGGAAGAGGAGGAGGACCCTCCAGCTCTCCGGCCAGCGGAGCCGTGGTGGAGCAGGAGAGAGGTACGAGGGCTTGCAGGGTGGATTTGGGATGGCTCAGGGCAGGCACCAAGTGCCTTGCATGGTGTGTCTGAGCTCCTCTGCACTGCCAGGACCCTCTGAGGGCTCCATGCCCTGCCCACGCTGCCCATGGCCAGCCCAGCTGCCAGCTGAACTTCACCCCGCAGTGGTTACACATTGCTGACCCCACGGCAGTTTAACAGAGTGCAGAGGAAGGAGGTTCTCCATTGCCCTGGCAGAGCGGCGGAATGAAGCCGGCGAACGTCCCCGAGGAGAATGGCTTCAGGGAGGCAATGGCCACTGGCCAGCACGACCTCACAGCCCGCAGCCCCGGGAAGAAACGCCGCTGGATTCGGCGCCTGATCCCGGACAACTTCTGGGAGGACTCAAAGAAGCTGCTGGTGCTGGCAGGACCACTGGTAAGGACCTGGCAGGATGGATTTCCCACAGCAGAGACCCCCCCACTCACCTCCATCGCTGATCTTTGCTGCTCTTGTCTTCTCTGTGCTTAGATCCTGATCCAGCTGCTGATCTTCCTGATACACCTTGTCAGCTCCATATTCTGTGGCCACCTGGGCAAGGTGGAGCTGGCCTCTGTCACGCTGGCCATCGCTGTAAGCATTCCCCATGCTGGGCACAAGCTCCCCCACCACCTCTGCTGGCACTGGGATGGGATCTGGGAATGGCAGCGGAAAAGGACAGAGGAGATTTCAGACTCCCACTTTTCCTTTTAGCCCTTCTCCCCACCTGAAAGTCTTAATGCTCACCTTCTTTGTTTCTTTAACTCCTGTTGCCAGGTTATAAATGTTACTGCCATCTCTGTAGGTTATGGATTGACTTCAGCCTGTGACACCTTGATATCACAGGTGGGTAAGACATGCACTTGTCCTGGAGACACATGGGGGTTTCCAGCATCAGCTGGTGATGCCCAGGCACCACATGGAGCCCTGGCTGCCCCTGTGAGCTGGGGAAGCTTATCCCCAGGTAACAATCCCATAACAGGGATGGTCCAAATCCTTCCCGGGCGGTTCTCAGGGTGGTTAGGGCTACTCTATGCTCTGTGGGGTTCTCATCTCCCTAGCACCAGTTGACTTCACTCGGGCGGTTCTCAGGGTGGTTAGGGCTATTCTATGCTCTGTGGGGTTCTCATCTCCTTAGCACCTCTTGACTTCACCGCTGCCCTCTCTCCTCCAGACCTATGGCAGCAAGAACCTGCTGCGTGTGGGGGTGATCCTGCAGCGTGCCACCCTCATCATCCTCCTCTGCTGCTTCCCCTGCTGCGCTGTCCTCATCAACATCGAGCAGTTAATGCTCCTCATCCGGCAGGATCCCGAGGTCTCCAGGTCGGGTGGTCCCATGGCCCTTCCCTGGAATGGTGGAGCTGAGAGGAAGGTGGTCCTGGCCATGCCCCTCCCTAACCCTGACTCTGTGTGCCCCCAGGTTAACCCAGCGCTACGTGATGGCATTTGTCCCTTCTCTCCCGGTGAGTCCCTGGGGCACCCTGGATGACCATCCTGCTTCTGCTGCTCAGCACTGGCTCAGCTCATCCACCAATTTCCTTTGCAGGCAGTTTTTCTCTATAATCTGGAGACAAGATACCTGCAGAACCAGGTACATCCTGAGGACATCACACCCACTGAGGGTCAGCCCTGGCTCAGGGGTCCCTTCCACCATGCACCCAGGGTTTCCATGCTTGCCATTCCTGGTGATGAGGCAGCATTTGTGCCCACCACCACCTAGGTGCCCCAGAACAGATTCTGTAGGTCACACCATCTCACAGCAGATGTATCCAATCTGCCTGATGGACCTCCCTTCATACCTTCCCACATCAGGGATTTACCTTCAACATTTTCCAAGCAGATGACATCACCTGAAGTTTACTTTTTGGCTGGGAAAGGTGCTGAGCATGGGGCTGGTGTGGATCATCACACCTCCCTCCTGAAGTCTTTGTGAAGGCACAGTGTTCCCATCTCCTCCTCTTTTCAGATGATCATGTGGCCACTGGTGCTGAGTGGAGTCATCGGCAACATCGTCAACGTGATAGCAAACTATGTCTTCCTCTATGTGTTCCACTTGGGCATCACGTGAGTAGCACCTGTGTCCCATGGAGGGGAAAACATGGCACTTGGGGATTCTCAGGGGCCAACACTGAGCATCCAGTGCTCACAGGGGCACGGGGGGACATCACGCTCCAGCACCCTGAGGCCATGGGTGATGACGATTACCTTTCTCACTTCCTCTGCAGGGGCTCTGCCTGGGCCAACACCACTGCTCAGTATTCACAGACCATTTTCTTGTTCCTGTACATCATAGGCAAGAAACTCCACGTGAAGACCTGGGGAGGTAAGGGCATTTCCCTTGTTCCCTCTGCTTCCTGCTTTACTCCAGTGTCCATAAAACTTCCACCACCTGGTGGAAGTGTCCTGGATAGACGACAAAATCTGTTTGTCCTGAGAGTGAAATATTAACCCCAGCCTGGTGCACCCCAGGTACAACAGTGCTGCTTGGGTGGCAGCATGTCATGCGTGAGTGCTGGCAGAGCTCTGTGCTGGGCTGTAAACATTAATTCTGGAGAAATGAAACTTTCTGCTGAGGCTTTGTGGGGATCAGCCCCAAAGCCGGATGAGCGCAGACGTAAGCACGAGGTTGTCCTGAGACACTCTGTTCCGGGAGGGATGAGCTGAGGGTTACCCTGCTCTGTGGCACAGGGGACACCATCAGAGAGCATGTAGGTGCACACTCTGCTGCTGGAGGTGCTGTGGAGCTGAGCAGAGTTGCTTCAGTGACTGCAAACAGGAGCAGCACCTCTGGCTGCCTTGGGTGCTCTCTGTGATGTAACACACATCCACTCTGGTCATCCATCAGATGTTTCTTCTCTCCATAGGCTGGTCCAAAGAGTGCCTGCTGGAGTGGGACAGCTTCACATCCTTGGCTATCCCCAGCATGCTCATGATGTGCATTGAGTGGTGGACCTACGAGATTGGGAGCTTCTTGATAGGTCAGTGGAGAGAGAAGCTGCAAGGACATGGCGAGGTTTGACCCTGAGCAGCTCTTCCCTAGGCACCCACAGCCAGTGTTGACCCTTTTCTCTCCCCCAGGCCTGCTGAGTGTCGTCGAGCTCTCTGCCCAGTCCATCATCTATGAGGTGTCTGTTGTTGCTTTCATGGTAAGGGCTGGGGTTATTACTTCAGAACAGGGCTTCATGGGGACCATCCCAGGACTGACACCCACCAAAAATCAGCTCCAGTAAATCTCCATCTTCCCTCTCTGCACTTAAACTTCTCCCTGCTCCTGCCTCTCCCTCCTATGGAGACACTTGAAATCAAACCTTAACTCCATCCCCCTCTCTGCCATGTGGTTATTCCACTGTCTCTGCCATGGTCCCTTTACCTGAACACACTCATGAGCCTCAGCCCTGTGGTTGCAGATTCCCCTGGGGCTTGGCACAGCTGCCAGTGTGCAGGTGGGGAATGCACTGGGTGCCGGCGACGCCGAGACGGCCAAGAGATCCTCCTCCACCAGCCTGCTCTGCACAGGTCAGTCCACCACATGATGCTGGGAAGCCTCTCCCTTCCAGGAGCAGGGAGCATTTGCAGTCCTCTGCAATCTTCTTCTCCCCCTGCTCTCTCCCTTTGGCTGCTCCCAAGCTCTCCATCTCAGCCAGGCTGGACTGAGCACTTTGCTCTGTTTCCAGGGGCTTTCTGCATAATCATGGGGGTCATTTTAGCCTCTGCAAGGAATGTGCTGGGATACATCTTCACCCAGGACAAGTGAGTGCCCCCAGCTCCTGGCTTCAGTGTGTGGAGATCAGTTCCCAAAAGTGATTGTTGGCTTTTCTCTGTCCTTAGGGAGATTGTTGAGTTGGTGGCATGGGTCATCCCTGTCTACGTGGTCTTCCACTTGTTTGAAGCCATGTGTGTAAGTCCCAGGGAATGCTGCTATTTTCCATAGGGGACCTCAGTGCCGGGAAGCAGCATCGTGGGCTGAGGGTCCCTGGGGCTGTGGGTGAGCATTGGTGTCCGCGCCAGGACCCTGCAGAGTTCCTGGGATCATCCCTTAGGAAACACCAAGTGCATCGAAAGATGGTGACCCACAGGACTGGGCAGAGACACAGAAATAATGGGCAGAAGCAGGGAGCTGGTTCATCTCCAGGCAGCAGCAGAGCCCTGGATTCGGCTGCGGTGGCTCTCCCTGCCCCAGCTCCTCTCCCTCTCCTGGCAGGGTACCTGCAGCGGGGTGCTCAGAGGCATTGGCAAGCAGAAATTTGGTGCCATCCTCAATGCTGTGAGCTACTACGGCGTGGGCATGCCCCTGACAGGTGTGCTGCTCTTCGTGGCCAAGATCGGCGTCATAGGTACTGACCCCTGGGCACACAGCTCTGCACACCCCCAAACCTCCTGTGGGCAGATCAGCTCCCCCCAGCTCCACTGATGGCTCTCCATGACCCTCGTGCCTGGCTCTGCCCTCCCTGGGGGCACACTGGGAAGGCTCTTGCAACTACTGGGAGCTTTTACTCATGCTGGGAAGGAGTAATTGCTTCCAGTTGTGACAGGCACCCATGACCACCCTATCCCCATGTCCCTGCTGACCTTGGTGACATCTCCTTTCTTGGCCTGATGTCCTGGGATGCCCTCTCAGTTGGGTTTGCCCCAGCTCCCTCTGGTGTGTCCTGCTGCAGGTCTGTGGCTCAGCATGCTCGCCTCGGTCTTCATCCTCTGCACCTGCTTCATCACCTACATCTCCCGCATGGACTGGACCAAGGCAGCCGAGGAGGTAACCCAAGCACCCACAGCACCATGCCCTGCCAGAGGGAAGATCCTTAGTGCCTTGGCTGGGATTGCCATGGGATGACACAGGAGCATGGGCTCAATCTCACAGCCAACTCTGTCCTCCAGTGCCCCCAGTAAAACCCAGTGCTCCCACAACCACATCCCTGTGCTCAGCTCCCTCCTGCACACGCACGCAAAAAGTTTCTCTCTGCCCTGGTGCCACCCTTGGGTGGGGACATGAAGCACAGAGCAGATGGGGTGATCCAGGCTACCTCAACCCTGCACTCCTGAGCAACACCTTGTGCCCCATGAGAAGTGACACACTGGCTTTGCCCAGTGGGGATTCCCTGCACCACTGACTAAACCCAGCGTGTTCCCTCCCCAGGCTCAGCGCCGCGCAGGAGTGACCCAGCCACCACCAGAGGAGACAAATCTGGACCCTGAACCCTCCTGCAAGGCACTTCCCTCAGATGTGGGGCCAGACCCCCTGCCCCACACTTACCCCCTTGCCACAGTGGTGCAGGGGTGCGTCGGTATGGCCAGGAGCTGGGCACGGCAGGGTGGGGAGCTGGGCACGGCATGCAGTGGTGGTTCAGGACCAGGAAAGGTCCCCAAGGATTCACATAAGCCAGGAATGAGCCCACAAAAGCAGGGTGCAGCATAGTGCTGGGGATGCCCTCAGATACTGGGAGAACAGTAATTATAGGGGTGGGCTCTGGGTGTCGTGGGGATTACCTGGACGGGTGGGACACCTTGGACAATTCTCACCTTACAGACATCAGGTTCCCCCTGAATCTGTTGAGAGCTGGAGGTCTCCACACTCTGGACTGCTCATAATGTGCTTTCAGCCCTTTGACAAACCCCCCCAAGAAACTCCTCAAACCCCTCGTGACGCTGCCCCATTGTCCTTGCAGCGGGAGTGGATGCACAGAACAGCGTCGTGCTCACAGGCATCACCAGGATGGAAGGACCAACGTACCAACTGGACCCCCAGGATGCCAAGTCTGCCACCTTCTCTCCAGCCACTGCTGTGGTCACCAAGACGCTGATCCTGCGGCGTGTGCTGGCAGCAGCTGCAGCCGTCACTGTCCTCGCGCTCGGCATCGTTATAAGGCTGATGACCAGCAAACACTGACCCACAGCAGGGACTCTGGGGACTTGTTTTGGGGGCAAAAGTCCCTCCTGACAGATGGATGTACAAAGCACAGACCAGCCAGCAAAAGAATCCAGCACACACCTGTCCTACAGGAGCCAAAGGGTCAGCGATCTGCTCAGACATGGCTTGGGAATGGGCCCTGCAGCTGCTCCAGCACCCAGAATGCTACTCTGGACTGCCTGACACACACTGAGGGTGCAGGTGATCCTCTCCAACCCACACTGCTGGCTACTGCCTGCCAGCAGGAGCTGAGCACAGCCTGGCTCACACTGCTGCTC